TGCAAAAGCCGCAGCTCAACGCCAAATGGTTCAGAGGCAGAACTCCTAACTGGAGAGAACCCCGAACAAGAGCGTGTCGCTGAAGAAAACATTATTGACGAGATCATGGATAACCTCGATGTACCGGAGAAGCTGAAGGAGGAACTGGCTTCTCTTTCATTAAGTCCAAAAAGTGAATCTGACATTACAGAGTCGTCACCTAAAGATAGCAGTAAAGAAATTGCTGATCATTTCTTCAAAGAGAAAGCCGCCACTGTTTTGGATTCCACACCAGATGATAAAGTGGATGTGGATGTAAGGTCCATCATTAAGCAAACACAACAATCTGGAGCAGACAAATCTCACCTGATGGCAGAGGAAGCAAAGGACAAACCGACAATCCCAACCACTGAAGATAATGATCCACCAGCTAACCCTACTGTTACTGAAGAAAAGGGGCTTCACAGTAAAGCATCGATGCTACAAGAGAACAAGGAGGACTTGCAGTCATGTCAGGACACATCAAGTGAGAATATCATCAAAGGAGAAGTCGGGAGTAAGAAAAATTTCAAGAAGGACTCAGGTGCAGATGATGAAGGGCAGAAAAAGAACTCAAGTGCCAGTAAAGAATTAGCAGAAAGAGGGAGTTGTAAGCAAAGTGTGATCAATTCAGATGCAGGTGAGCTGAAGAGCTCAGGGGACGAGTCGGAAACTTCATGTGAGGAGATCAAACACGAGAGTATCGAGGGTGAAGACCTGTCCAAACCTGAAAGTCCCTCTGAGGAAGAAGATAGCAAGCTACCAAGCCCCAGCCAATACGTGGAACTAAATGTAAGAGAGGAGAAAAGCATAACCAGCCAAGACAGGGAAAATCGGACAAAGGTCACGTGTACCGAGATGAGCAAAGGTGACTCGTCTGCCCCTGTGTGTCAGCCCAGCTCTGAGAAGGAACACCCGAGCCAAACATACAGCATGGGACTGACGGATGAAAGCACCGGAAACTCAGACATGGATGAGCCATCTTCAGAGGAAGAGCAGCCAGAGGTTGATAGCAAGAAGCTGCAGGTTATTGTTGAAGAAAGCATGTCCGGCACTGAGGAAGAGCAGGAGGACATGGAGGCGAAACAGCTTTGTGACCTTCCAGATGATCGCGAGCAAAAGAAAAGAGCTTCATCGTCTTTGACAGCTTTGATTGAAGAGCCAAATGAAGACAAGGTTAGCTCAGAAGATGAGGACCCTTACATTGAGGAAACATATATTTATGACAGGACAAACAGTGAGAGCACGCATAGCAATTTAATAGAAAACCAGATTTTGGAAAAAGAGAGTTGTAAGTTTAATGCAGACAATGATAGTGGGAACGATCACAACAGCTTTGAAGAGCACGCAGATGAAGAGGAGCCGAAGGTCCAAGAGGAAAAAATCACCAGCTCAATTGAAGAGTTAAGTTACTATGAAAAAGAGTCCAGCTCAGAGGAGGAAAAAGCTCATGTGGACAAATATAAAGGAGAAACTGTAACTGACCAAGCAGCTCCTGCACTGGCAGCACAGTCTGAAGGCACTACCTCTGAAAAGTCTGTGGAGAAGGTCCAGTCTGAAGAAATGATTTCCCAGTCAGTTGCAGAGAGAGTAATTCTTCTAGAAAAGCGAGTTGCTGATGCAGAGAAAAGAAAAAGCACAACAAAAAGTTCTGCAGTCAAATTTTACTCGCAAAAAGAGGCCCCTCAGGACTCAGGCGACGAGGATTCACCCTGTGAATCACCCACATCTCAGGTGACTCTCTGCACCCGATCGGCTCCCCAGTCATCGTTATCCTTCAGCTACGACTCCAGTGGCGTTATAACCACCGAGCCCGAAGGCAGCAGGGTCAGATCCATCAGGGAGATGTTCTTAGCCAGGAGCGCCACCAACATCCAGCAAACTCGTTTCCCAATTCCTCACACATCAGAGCTGGCTGAGCTAAGAGCCGAGACCTCCGTCAGTGGTGGATATCAATCTCAGACTTCAAGCGAACTGTCGAGTGGGGAAGATGATTCGGCGCGGAAATCCATCACTAAAGGCTTCGTGAGGAGGACAATCGAAAGGCTTTATGGCAAGAAGGATACTAATACTGATGAGGAAGCAAGTGAAAGGCCCCCATCTGAGCCAAAGCAGGAGAAAAATGAACAGTCGGGCATCCTCGCTTCCTTCCACACAGCCCGATCCAAAGCAATGTCTGAGCTCTCATACTTCTACTCCACAAATGCCCTCGACACCTTAAGCGAAGCGACGAGATGCATCGCTTTTAATGCACAGGTCGGGCCCGGCGACAGCATTCCCATTGATAACGGACGCTGGCTGCTTAGAGACAACACCCTCATCCGAAAGTCTGTTTCAGATCCAATTGGAATCAACAAATCTTTTACAAACACTCCTGAAGGCAAAGGAGCGTTTGAGGACACAGAGGAGAAAAGTCCCTATTCTCTGTTCGCCACAAAACCTGAACCAGAAGAAGACAAGACCAAACTGCTTTCCAGGAAGTGCACCTACTTTTCTTTGCCCCACGGCAGCGAGTCGGACATATATCAGGACGAGCTGAGCACGGTGAGCAAAAGCAGCGCATATGACGACAGCATCACAGAGGAAAAGGACAGCTCAGAAGACACCAAGACGTGGGCCGAGAGGAACGGCATGCTGCCTGCTGACTTTAAGATGTTGGACAACAAAGTGCACCCAATGATGGAGCCTCAACCTGAAGGCGAAGTTGTAGTGGTGGTGCAGCCTGGAAAAGCTCAGGGTGTCGTTAATAGAAGGCTCCCGGAGCAGGACGTATTAGATGTACTGTACAATTTTTGTGGACAGCATTGTCCTTTACTGTAAAAGGGGCAGCTTTTTTTCACATAATCACAGAATATGGACGAAACAAGTGTTCATTATTAGGCCACAGTGAGAAATATTTTCTTTGGTGCCTACTTTTTTGCTGTTGCCATAGCTTTGGCATAATACACTATCATATGTCAAGTCTTTTGAGCCAATGCCAAGTGTGTAACAATGCGTCACAGATGCACAAGCTAGCGGATTAACCCTTTTCAACCCTTGCATTTGCCCGTGTGTAACAAGACCTTGTGCTTCAACTTGTCTTTTTATATTGCTTGTTCAGTACACAGAAAAAAACAGTTTGACACATCAAGTGTATATTTGCCATTTTACACTCCAGAGCAGCTCTTCTCACCCTATAGGTTGCCTGTCAAAACAAGCACTCAGAGCATTACTGTAATCTCGTTTTAAAACTCTAAACACTTTAAGTCCCAAGCAGATGTCAGGCAACCCCGCAGAGTGAACAGGTCAGTTTGTGGCCTGGAACTCAAATTCTGTACTATACATATTGTATCAGTTGACTACAATGTAAATAGGACCTTTCCTGGTTTTCGCTTAGTATCCATAGCTTAATGCATATTTGCAATAACCTGGTTTCTATCATTAGGACAAACTGTGTTATGGTTTACGATGTGGCAGCTGAGACGTTTCTGTCTTTTAAAATTGACATTTAAGAATTAAAAGTATGTGTTTCCAAATGTTCGTCTTCTATTTTTCACTTCTTTTACACTAAACTCAGTCCAGATTATTTTTATAGATCCTGGGTGATTAATGTCTTGGAGATTAGCCTTTTTTGGTGAGTAAAAGTGTAAAGGCCGAGGTGGGCGTCGTGTTAAAGACACCTCAAGAAGCTCAGCTCGCTTGTTTTCTCTTGCTGATTAGCATCAGCAGATTTCTGAAGAGGAGCGGAGACCTCTGTTTTCTCACTCTGTTTGAGGAAGCATTTGTGTTGTTCTAAGGCTGTTTTGTTTCTCAGAAGTTGCCATCGAACTGGCCCGTGTTGTGACAGGAGCGTCTAGGAATGCGCTAAGAGGGGAGTGTTTACATGTGCAACTACAAAGAGAAAACACGGCAGCCAGACATTTCCCACAATTTGAGACGATTTAAGACTATCTTTTCTGCTGAAGTTGATTTTTACATCAAAGCAAAGAAGGGTAAAAATCCTTCGAATATCACCGAACACAGATGCACCAGGACGATGATCACTAGATGGCATTACTCATAAAAAAAAACAGGGTCTCGGGCAATTAAAGCAGACCTAGTATGCTGATTTACAGCTACGTATATTTATTTTCAATCTTAGTATAGTAGCTTTGCATGATTCACTATTGAAAATAATCCTTGTTTATCTTATACTAAGCTCAGATCACAGTCTGTACCTCCTTAAACTTTATGTTTGAACAGCAAGTGGGTGGGGCTTCTGTGCCTGAGATGACCACATTAGGGACATCCACACTCGCTGACAACGCTGAGAGTCGAGTCAGAAAAAAAACGGTCTAAAACTGAGTGATTACGACATTAAGCCTAAACTGTTGGTTCAAAGCGAGTATTTGCACATACAATCAATCAACTTGAACATGCTGTTCAACTGTTTGTTAAGCTAAATGTCTGTTAGAGGTCAGAGGAGAATGGCCAGACTGCTCTGAGCTGACAGGAAGGAAACAATAACTCAAACACTTATTACAAGCAAGTTATGCAGAAGAGCATCTCAGAAGGACTGCAGCGGCAGAAGACCACACTCTGGAAACTGACTATACAAACAGTCTAACCAAAATCAGAAAAAGGGTTTCTGGTCTTAGGAGTTTTCATTAGGATCAGAATTTGACATAAAAATAAAAGCATGGATCCACCCCGCCTTCCAGTAACATTTCAGGCTGCTGATGGTGTGAGGATGTGGGACTTTTAATAGCAACTGGGCATCACCGAATCACCACAGAATTGCTGCTGACCATGTCCATTTGACCACAGTGTTCCCATCTTCTCATGGCTGCTTCCATGTCACAAAATTCAAATGATCACAAACATATTTCTTGAACATGACTCTTAATCAAGAGCTTGCTGAATTAAAATGGACCAAAATCTCTGAGGAATGTCGTTGATTCTAAGCCACAAAGAATTGAGGCAAAAGACTGGTAAGATGTACCCAATAAAATGGCCAGCGAGTGTATACTGACCTCGTTATTTGAAACTCTTTTAATATCAGAAGCCACGACTATAACAGCATTTACATGACAGAAAATTAGGAAAAATCCATACAAGGTCAAAAGCAGCTAATCAGAAACACCAAAAATGTTTTACATTTTACTTTTATTTAAATAAATATTTACATAACAGCTTCGTATAAATCAAATGTCTTTTTCTTACACAACCACATCGTTCTAAAATCAACCGCTTTAACAAGGAGGAAGAAGAAAATAAGAGGTGGATTACGATGATACTGTTAATCTGAAGAGAGGCGGGTTAATCTAAACCCCTCATGTTGATCACTGAGCAAATATCCCTGTTTTCAATCATAAAGGCTGAACCTGGTTGATATTTACCTTCACTCAAACACCATTTAACACGTGACACTTAAGAACTTGCCCATCTTTCATTATAAATCTTGTTATACTATGCATAAATCTACATGATAATTTGATATACATTTTAATTCATTGTTACTAAGGAATAGGAAGATGATAATCTACACTATTGGAATAAAAAAACAAAGCCAGATGCTACTTAAGAAGAACATGTGGCTAAAAAAGTAAAGAAAATAAATCAACAACTTAAGTCACACATGATTCATTCAGGCACAAACAAAGCAAAAGACAGCCTTGGTGAAATTTAAAGACACCACTCATACAGTTTAGGCTATAACGCCTCGCTAAACGGTGTACAGTATATGGCTCGGCTTGAGGGAAAAAAAGTCAGGTAATGTGATCTCAGAAGATCGGAGCACACAAATAATGCCCAAGCTACAATTCTAACCCACATCTCTCTAATCAAGGTGTCGAAATTGTTTCTGAAATACTACAATAAAAACATGACAGTGAAATCAAAGTGTAGGAAACACAGCTTAACCCCTCAAAAGAAATTGTGCAGTTGTGCCCTTCAGGGATTATCGACGTCGCTAAAACACATCTGGAGACAACGGCAGCTTAACACACTCCACTACAGGAAACGGGTGTAAAAATGACAAAAACCGACTGAGGAACAAACTTGCAAATAACCATTTGTTTAATGCAGCAGGTTGATGGTTACGCTTCACGAGGATTCAAAAGATAAAACGATAAAATGCTCTTTGTTTTCTATTGCTGTCAGATCATGCATGTAAACTCTATTCTCCTAATAAAACCAATTGTTTACTTAAAAATGTATAAAGAAAATACTCTTTTTCTTCAAAATACTATGCGGGGAAGGATTAAAGGGTGAAATATCATGTTTCAACAACACCTCGTTGTTTTCATCCTGAGATTTGAACCAATGTGTAACCCCTCCGAGGAGGTTTTTCTTTTTAAAACACACGTGAAGATTCAGTGTTTGGTGAGGATGTCCCACTGGTCGGTGAGCGTCTCAGATGAAGCCATCGTTACGGTATCTGAAGACCGTCATACTGCTTGGGTTTTGGGTTGGTGCGAGCGTGTCCCGCTCACAAAGTTATAAACCAAAAACTGGGAAGTGCCAAAATAATGCGTGGCGAAGAGTTTCCCGTCGGGAGTGGGGTCGGAGAAGGCGATCTCATCTTTGCTCAGGTATGAACCGTATATGAAATTATTCCTGTGCAGAAAAACAAACAAATACGAGTTGCATTAATATGACTTTGATTGTGTGTGTGTGATGATGATGATGAAATGACTGGCGGTTTGCAGCCGTACTGACCGGAGGCACTCGAGCATGCGCGAAGCGATGCCCTGACGTCTCATCACGCTGACCACCCAGATGCGACTGATGCCGCAGATGGCGGGCTCTGGCGTTGTGGAGCAGCACCAAGCTCTCTGACGTTCAAACATCAACTTCTCTCCCTCCGAACCCTCTGGCATGGGCTCTTCAATCACCCTGTACCCCTGTGAGCATGCACAATCCTCAGTAAACGTCACAGAATAAACGGACACTTACTGATAGCAGCGGTCGAACATCTGTTTATTGTATTATATCCATTTGGTCTGTCTAAATGCTCAGATACCTTAAAACTGTTACATGAGGAAGAAAGAAAGATTAGAAACACAAAACGAAATATTTTAGTTCATATTTTAAGCTATTTTAAACATCTGTATCAGCCAAGAATTTCATTTATCCCATTTTTTTACATGATGATCATTCACAAATGTGCTCATCATCATCTCTTACCTCTTGTATGTGCTCAGCTATGAGACACCCAGCCACTTTCTTGTCATTAGAGATAAAGAGGAAGGTTTTGGTCTTTGAGGGACACTTGGTCTCCACCTGCTGGAAGCCGAGGTCATTGTCCACCATCTCCCGGATCTCCTCAACCTGAGGAACAGATTATTGTACATCCAAGAATCAGTATGCTAATGCAGGGATGATAAATATTGGAGCATATCTAAGGATACAGTCCAAGTGAGACTTGAGCACCTTTTCTTTTTTTTTTTTTCAAAGGCGGGGCAGACTTGGAGTATTGGTGTCACATTTACAAATGCAAGCTGAAAAACTGAGATACCCGGTTTTAAATTTCAGGAAAATATAACGAGCTAATCCAGATCCAGGCATTCTTGTGATGTGCTTTTCAGCCTTAGCAGAGGTTATGCAGTCTGTCTGCTCACATTTCAGCCGTTTACAGCTCTTTAAATTATTAAGTGCATAAGGGTGAATTCTCTGCTCAGACTCAGACAAACGCAGCAAAGTTGGCTGCTTACGTCACACAGAGACCCACAAACATGAATGAGCATTTTACTTGCTGAAGACAAAAACTGAGCGATGAAAGACCCTACAACAGTAAATAGCTTCAGTAAAAGCTTTGAGTTTCAGACCTTAGGCCTGAGCCACACAGGCCTAGAGACTGGCAAGGGATTCCCAGGTAACTGCTCGTTGCTAGCGGAAAAACATTACCCAATCAGTTGGCGAGTTGTTGAAGGCTATTGCTGAATGAAATGCAAACACTCACCAAAAACTCACTAAAAAAGAAAAGAAAACATCCACCTTCAAAGCAAAGCCTTCACCCTTTAAAATATATTGGTTGCACCTCGACCCAACTAGAAAGAATGGCCCAGAACAGAAATCTCTTGAGATCTACCTGTGGCACCCCATACCCTGGGAGGGGTGGCAGGCAATAGTAGTAGTAGTAAATTACGACTTTTACTTTGAAGGGGAACATTCTCTGTTTCTGGTTTGTGTCCCACTTTCTCAAGTTTAACTTCAACTTAGTGCTCAGTTATCAATTTGCAGGCAAGTCAACGTCTTCCTGTGTGATACTGCAAATGTTGGTATTGAACCAATACTAAGTAAATACAGAGCCAATACTAGCGATACCAATACTGATACCATTAACTTAAAAAAGCAGCTTATGTAAGGAACAGCAATGTGTCGTGATTTATGAGTTGAATCATCACTCATTTATAAATTCTGAACACATTTTAATGGCCACTAAATTGCTGTGATTTTTACTTTCCAAAGAACAAGCCACTTAGTAATACACACCTTTCAGTTTTTCATGCATTTTGAAAAAGTTTGGTGTTTTTTTTAGAAATGTAGAATTTAAATGCCTTCTGTTCTTTAAATGTGCTATAGGCTAGGGATGGGTATCGAAAACCGGTTCTTGTTGAGAACCGGTTCCACTGTTTCAATTCATGCAATTGTTTGCCATTTTTGCAAACGATTCCCTTATCGATTCCAGTCGCCCCAAATGACGTCACCACATTGCGGAGCGTCATTTACCTGGCAGGAAACATGGCGGCTCAAACGCTAAAAAGTTTGGTTATACTTTACGAGAACGGATGACAACAGCGCAACTTGCAATACTTGCAAAGTAGATATTTCATTAAGGGAGGAAACACTACGAATATGCAAAAGCATTTGCTCACAAAACACGCGATGACCTTAAATGAATGTCGTGTTTTTAATTCCGCTCCGGACTCGTGAATCTCAACCGAGCAGCAGCGGTAACGTTTGCACGTCCTCTCACGTTAATGCAGCAGGTAAATCATCAACTAACAGTGCATATTATGTTAGCTGCCTTATTAGAAAACCTGCCATTACTGTGCATTTAGGTGACCGTGATGAGACAGACAGAGTCTGGCTCAGATGCTGGCAGTTCTCGCTGCAGTCTGCCGGTAGCGTCTCCTTTCAGGCCAGGATAGACGAATGTCACCGAGCAGTGACTAAGTTTGTGGTAAAAGGCTTGCACCCATTTGCCACAGCAGATGGCCCCGATTTTCGGTAAGTGAATGTGTTTAATTGTAGGCAGGGACATTACTGGATATTCTTGTGTAATTGCTACAGAATAATTTATGTTATACTTTGTTATTGCTACAGAAGAATATTTATTTTATTATTTCACATTTACAACTTTTTTTTCATGGGGACCCTGTGACACCCCATTGAAGAGCCGTAGGCTGGATCTCTTAAGACCTCACTGTTGGGTTTGTAAGGCCATGCTACTCCTAAAATTTCTATCTTGTTCAAAGAGAAGATATAAAACAAAGTTCTAAGCTAATCGACCTCGATTAGCTTAGAACTTTGTCTGAAACTCCTTTTTTTTAAAAAAGAATCGATAAAGAATCAAATCGTTAAACAGAATCGAAAATGGAATCGGAATCGTGTAAATCTTATCAATACCCATCCCTACTATAGGCTATAAATAAAATTTTAGTGCATGCTTGAGGTTTGTGTTTTTTCCATTTCCCCCAAAAATAATTTAACGCAATGCAGTGTGACACATACTGAACTTAGAGAGTGGAAACAAAATATCGATCATATCGTGCTAGTATCGATCTGATACCAATACCAGTGTTGGGATCGACACTATCAACCCATTTGGATTGACCTGCCCACCTCTAGTGATCACGGGAATCTACTAGCAAGCAAAGCAATTGCAAGATTTTTGGTGCAGTACCCTCTTTGCAACACAAAGCAACCACTTGGCAACATGTCAGGGAATACACATTTTTCCCTAGTGGAGAAAAGTACCCATTGTTACCTTTTGCTAGGCCCGTGTGACTGCTACCTCAGACAGTCACTCCCTGCAAAGGATTCTCAAAAGAGTATTTTATTTAAATGTATTTATACTTATTATTCTGTTACACTTGAGGAGGTTGTTGCAACCTGTAGAATTACAGCAGTCTGTAATTCAACTGCATGCTGGCTGTTTCATGTTAACTCGGTGGCAGTAAAAGACGGAGCCAAAAAATATAAAAACTGGGAACTTCTTGTTTTGGGGACCTAACTATCAATCCAGACATATAAGCCCTGAAGAGTTCACGCTAGCAAATGCTGGTGTAAACATACCTTCTTCAGAGCATATTTGGGATCATCTGGCAGGACGAGAATGATCTTGCCATCTGGAAACTCAGACAAAATCCTCTCCTTTTTCCAACCCTGACAAAAAAAAGGAAAGCAAAAAGAATAGAAAATATTTAATTATGTCATCTAAATGTCCTAAGTAGGTATTAATCCATTTTCTATGTGCAGTCACTCCCAATCTTGGACAATTTTGGCAAATAGGCGCAAAACATTCCAGGTAATAAATCTTCTTATAAGCCGACAGAATCATTTGACGTAAACCAAATAAAATTACATTTTCAATTTAACTTTATTTACTGTCTCTTCTGCCACCAGAAAAGTCAGTAAGAATAAATCACACTTGAACTGAATAAACAAAGAGCTGTGCTGACCTAGTTTTCTAGAGGTGGGAAGTTAGAAAATGTCCAACGGGCAATCCTAAGGAGGAATCTTATCAAATACCTGCAGTCTTGCTCACTGTAGTGCAGCATAGAGTGGAAGATGAGGGTCAAGACTCCCTTTATCAGGAATCCTCAGTTGTCCCTGCACTGCATTGTTTATTTTTTGTAAACCATATCTATAAATTTGTTGGCATTTATTGCTCTGATCCAGGGAGTCAGTTTAACAGGCATAGGCATGTGACTTTCCCTCACCACATATTTGACGGCGCTGATGAACTGGTTGTGAAACAGCAAATGCTGAGATTCATCCTCGGGGTTGGCAGCAGAGTAGAGCATCCCACACACACTGCAGGCCACTGCTCCAAAATGCTTCTGTCCTGCATCCTGCGAGAACAAAGCAAAGCAATAAGCTCACTCTCAAGAATTCAATTTCACTTAGTTTTCCAGAGTGACAGAACACAGAAAGAACCCAACTTATGATCCATGTTTTCCATTGCAAAAGCGCAGGATTTAAAATGAGGTCAGAGGAAACTATCTCGTTCACTCACAATAACTGTTTGGGTGCCATCTTTGTCAGCCTCCTTTAGCTTCTTGACTTCTTTTTGCAGGCAAGCTTCGGAGAGAGGAGCCCCGCCATCCTGTGGCTTCACAGCTTTGCTGCGATTCAAAAACACATCGGGTTACTGAAGGTTTCAACCGCTAAGAGGCAAAAAAACCAAAATAAAACATGTCAAACAACTTTAGAAAAGCTTCTTACTCTTGACAAGGCTTTCCTGATGTCTGCTCTGCTTCCTTCAAGCTTTCTGCTTTACTCTCTGGAGAAAGATCAACGTATAAAAGAAAGGATTTTACACAGCAACATAATTATACACACATTTAAGAAGGTTGTTGACAAAATACAATAAAAAAAA